GCCAGTGAGCGGCCGGTCTGTATGTGGGATCCGAACCCTCGGCGGGAGCGCCGCCGCACTTCCCAAGCGGTGCACTGTAGCAGTGCGCCACCGGGCCGGCCCTAGGGGCCATTTTAAATGAAAAATACAATCTTTAATAATGCTCACACACTCACACTGTGAGAGGCATGTGGGAAATGAGCCCAAAGGAAGGAACAGAATTACATTTCCCAAATTAATACTCACACTGGGACATTGCTCAGCCGAGAAAAAAGGTACACTCTAGTTAAATTTTTTTCTTTTTTTTGATGGATAAGGTATAGTTAAATTTGTATGAGTTAAAGCCATTTTACCAGCTCCTAAACCTTTTCTAACCCAGCTTCCATTTTTATCATCCAGTCTTGAAACTAACGCAAGATTCTCATGACAGTATCCACAAATGCATAGGCTTCTTTTTTCTTTATCTTCTGGGTCTTCTATATGATTCACTAAGGTTTTTAAAAATCTTTGCTTGAAATTATTCCTCCATCTGGGTCCTATGACATTAACCTGGTTCCCTGGCTACTGTTGGTAGTTATTTTATTTCTTCTTCACTGTCTTCATCCTCCCCAACATTCCAGACATGCCAAAGGCACCATCCTTGGTCCTCTCTTTACAATAGAAAAATATACCATTTTCGGATTAAAGGCCACTGATCATGGGATAGGAAAGAAACTTCAGTACCAAGCGAATTAGCTGAGATAATTTTGGTTTTATACTGAAACATAAAAATTCTGATTTTAAGGGCTGAGCCCGTGGCGCACTCGGGAGAGTGCGGCGCTGGGAGCGCAGCAGCGCTCCCGCTGCGGGTTCGGATCCTATATAGGGATGACCGGTGTGCTCACAGCGCTCACTGGCTGAGCGTGGTGTGGCCGGTCTCAAAAAGGACAAAAAAAAAAATTCTGATTTTAAATAACTATTAGACTACAAAGGAAACAGGGAGAAGGAAAGAAGAATTGAAGGGGAAAAAGAACAAGATAGTCATCCCTGTGAGCACACAGAGATAGGGAGACACCCAAATACCTCTTGGGCAACTCAAACTCATGTCTGATAAGCACCAGGCACAATGGCTAGGATGATTATCTTTCCTTGCAATCTCCTCTTCCTCCTGTATTCCTTACCTATTTCACAGTACCTCTATCAAGATGTTAAGTGCAGAAATCCCAGGATCATCCTAGTACCCAGCTTCCCACCCTTCTACCATTCCTAACTGCATCTCAAATTCATAACCTCATCCTATTCCCACAGCTCCCACCTTTGCTCTGGTTCTTATCACATCTGTCTGGACTACAAGAGCAGCCAGTTCACACTACCAGCAGGAGCGTTCTAAGACACAAATCGGATCAAGTAACACCTCTGCTTAAAACCACCCAATGATTTCCTCTCACCTTATCCACAGATGGAATATATATTCCTTTGCTTGATATACAGGCCTTCCACCATCCAGCCCCCTAAAACTGATCAAGTCTTATCTTTACTAGAGCTCATTTTGCAGTTTGTGCTCCAACCATACGCATGATTTACAGTTGCCTGGATGGATCATGCCTTTTTCTCTTGAATATCCCTTTCTCCTAGTCTTCCTGACAAACTCCTGTTCATCCCTCAAGAATTGGCATCACCACCTCTGGAGCATTTCTTGAGTTGCCCCAAATGTATCCCTTTCTACTTTGGGCAACCACTGTAACCTGTACATAATAACTCTATGGAGACTGGGTGGTAGTAGTTTAGAGTGCAGGCTTTGAAATCAAACAGACTTGGAATCTAAACGTGGCTCCACCACCTATGTGTGATTTTGGATGAGTTATGTAACCTACCTAAGCTTCTGGCTCTTACATACATACAGAGGGTCCCCAGCTTACCATAGCTCTACTTAATGATTTTTCAGCTTTATGATGGTACTTACAACTGTGTATGTTAACGGTGAGCAGCCATACAAACATTCTGTTTTTCACTTTCAGTAGGGTATTCGATAAATTACATGAGCTGTTCAACACTTTATTATAAAATAAGCTCTGTGTTGGATGATTTTGCCTAACTGTAGGCTAATGTAATTGATCTAAGCCCATTTAAGGTATGCTAGGCTAAGCTATGGTGTTCAGTAGGTTAGGTGTATTAAATGCATTCTCTTGGGCCAGCCCGTGGCTCACTCGGGAGAGTGCGGTGCTGATATCACCAAGGCCATGGGTTCGGATCCCACATAGGGATGGCCGGTTCGCTCACTGGCTGAGCGTGGTGCTGACAACACCAAGTCAAGGGTTAAGATCCCCTTACCGGTCATCTTTTTAAAAAATAAATAAATAAATAAAAAATAAAAAAATAAAAATAAATGCATTCTCAACTTAATGATGTTTTTAATTTACGATGGGTTTATCAGGATGTAAACCCATCGTTAAGTCGAGGAGCACCTGTATATATGAATACATAAAGTACTAAGCACAGATCCTGGCGTATAATAATTGCTCAGTAGTAATAGCTATCATTATTATAGCACTCATTAAACTTACGAGCAATTATTTTGTTTCTATTTCTATTGATAGGTATAATCTTTACCTATCTGTGAAGAACTGTCTTAATCATTTTGGTATCTTCAGTCCTCCATAGTAGGAGGCCAATAAATGATAGCTGAATGAGTCACTTTTAAGAAGCAACAGCTCCATCATATAGACTTTCAAGTACTGCTCTTAAATAATTTAAAACAAAATTACTTTTTGTAAATTTTGGCAGAAACATGGATATCACTGCTTGGCCCTTCCTCAAGCGTCTCCTTTGTGAATTCATCTCCTCTTAATGCTTACCTCTTACTTCTAAGCTAAAAAGTATCTGTATCTCCTGTCTAGCCCGCTTACCCTCTCAATAAGTTTCATTGTCTACTGTCAATATATTTTGCCCTTCCCACACCTATGACCAAACAATTACTACAGTTTCATGCTGAGCCTGATCTCTGAGAATCCTTCTCAATATGAGGGGTCTTCAGTAAGTCATGGAATAATTCATAATA